CGAGCTAAGACCCAGGTGAAGCGCAAAGTTTGTAATTGATTTAAGTTTTGTACTTGCCAACCTTTTTTTTTTTGCAGGAAGTGAGTTTCAAGTTTGCACTAGATGTTGCAATGTTAAAATGTACCCTCTACCTCAACTTCCTCTGGATTTGTTTTGTATCTGATTTAAAGAAATAAAGTTGGCTTTTTTGATAGATGCCCATTAGTCTGTGTTAAATTGCCATACACATGTTTGCATATATATATATATTTAAATATTATATTTATAATGACTGTTTCTATTATTTAACCTATATTTCAAATACATTGTAAACATATATTAAACATATGAAAGGGGGGGGGGGAATTTTTTTTGTCACTTAGTTTACTGCTGAGTGGTGAATGTTTGAAAGTCTCTCGTTCAAATGAATGGGGCTGCGACCGGCTGGCGCATGCCCGAAGCGTATTTCCACATTTTTCTTGTGGGGGGACCTCTCAGCGGGCCAATTTGGATCGTTACAGTAGAGCACATTTTTATGGCCATTTGTTTAGAACGGCGGGATAGGGTCGTGACTCTGACCGTTAATATATTACGTCTATGGAAAAAAACACATGCCTTAGCGCGGAGCTTCAACATTCACAGCAAAGTAAAATAGAGTGGACCAAAAAAAAATTCACCCCCCTCAGAATTTCGACACAACATGTGGAAACGGAGCTTTGGCCAAGAGCAAACTTTTGGTCCTCCAGTATAGACGTTTTGATGGAGGGTCTTGCCAATGGGAATCTGATAGTATTGGCCCTCATTTTCTCTCCCTCTCTCTCTCTCAGCTGTTTTTGTTTGATGCATTAGTTAGCCAGTTGTTGCCATCCTTGTTGTTTTACACGCCGACTCTTATTTACGGTCTAAACGACTTAGGCATTTTTTGATTCATTCCTTTTGTTGGACTTGTTTTGTTGAGTTTGTTATTTTGGCACAACTGGGCGACGCCAACTCCCACCACTGTTATTCTTTTTTGTTTAGCTTTTATAAAAGGAAATTGCCATACCCACTGAGTGACTCGGCTGAGATTTATCTGAGCCGCTGCGCAAACATTTCCAGGCTATTAGCAGAAACGACCAGGCTCTAATGCAAATTTTCTCAGGTTCTTACAAGGTTGAAAAACATGTAGTTCTAGCGGCCCGGCCAGTAGATGGTAAGAAACCCCCCTCTGGCAGTTGATTACCCACTTCCTGTGCCAGACCCTCGGAAGCGCACCAACATCATTCTGTAATTTTAACAAGCAGTTGTGAAGAATGGAAACTGAAGCGACAACTTTGTGCTGAGGTCTCGTTTGGATGAACGAAAGGAGTAGAATTATCCACTCTCTCCCGAGCTCGCAAAGCCCCCACAAGCTAGTTTGTGTAACCCGCGCCTTTGTTGTTTGTTTTCGCTACTGTGCATGTCCAAAATGTACGTGCGGGGAGCTGCGGTGGAGGTGGGGGGTTCAGCTCCGGCAGGAAATTCCCACCTTTTTCCTCACGCGGGTCGTGAAAGACGAACCCCGCTGAGCAGCGTATCTTGAGTTGTCCACTCTGCAGCATGATCTGAAATTCTTACGGTTTTTCCACTCCCTGGAACACAGTCTTCTTCATATGAGCGGTTAGTAGCAACAGACATCCAAACTATAGTTTTTTACTGCCACATTGTCTCTGTGTAGCTGCCTCCTCAGTTCAATTATTGTTTCATCTATCTTGGTCGATACACAAACTTGGGGGCTCGTCCAGGATAATTTGAAACAATCATTGTTCTTGTGGCTCTAGAGTATTAGAGAGGGTGCAATCATGGGTTCGTTTTACAAAGATTTCATAGAGACTCCCACTTTTTCAGCCTCTTCAGGTTCAGTCAGAACTCACCTTGGTGTAAGCCAACAACAGGAGATGCCTTCTCATCACCGCAGGGAACTGGCCGGTGTTGCTGGTCACTCCGTGTGCTGTAGAGCTTCAGAATATTCACATAGCAGACCCCTTGAGCGCCCGCCTACGGTCGGTGTCGTGATGAGTAGTTGGTGTCCACTCAGCTTCTGGTATACAACATAAGGCACAGAGATGTAGTGGACAAATGCTGAGCTGGTATTGGTTAAGAGAAGTAGCGCCGTTCGAGCGCCGTAGTCCACCAGGCTAGACGATGTTGACAATAAGCCTTCTTGTCAAATTGCAGCTTTCTTTCGGTCAGGAGACGCCAAGACAAAGTGGGGTAGCAAGCTAGTTTTAAACCGATCCCAAAGTGTAGTAGTGGAATATCTGGGATGTTTTGACAGTCTTTGAGTTTAATGAGGTGCTCTTTTAGAAACTTGTCCAAAAGGTCCTGGGGCGGCACGGTGGGCTGGAGTGGATAGCCATCTCGCCTTCTCAGGCAAGAAGGTCCTGGGTTCGAAATCCGGTCGGACCAGGGCCTTTCTGAATGGGAGTTGCATGTTCTCCCCGTGATGTCTCGTTAGGTTTCCTCAGGTACACCGGTTTTCCCATACCACTAAAATTATGTACCCAATAGGTATGGACCTGCCGCCTCTATACTGGCGGACCCCGCTCCCCATCTCTGTGTGGAGCGAGCAGCAAATGCCCCAAATAACAATTGTTAAACCGCCTTTGAGGACTCTTGATTTGCAGTTGAAAAGACTGGTACAATAAATAACGATTACTTACTTACCTCAGACTTCCTGGCCCAAAGACTAGTGGGTGGGCTGAACCTCAACCACTCCTGCACAGCTTCCTCCAGCAGCAACAGCACAAGGGGCCCCCTTTCATTTTTTGTGACTCAAAGCAGTGCTTCACACATGGACTGCCCACTACAGCAAGCCGACGTTGAAGTCAACGTAATTTGAACGTCGAATATTAGGTCACTGGGGGTGCTGATGATTGACGTTTCTCGACGTCGTTTCCCGACGTCAACCTCAACCTCCAAATGTTACGTGATGGCACGTCAATTCAAGGTTTGATGTGGTTCGGAAACCGGTCGGGTCTGGACGTCCTCTCAACGGCTCATATGACCCAAAATATTGACGTTTATGACGTTCGTTGTCAGTCGTTCCACTAAGCAAGCCGATGTCCAAACAACGTAATTACATCTGTCATCTGGACGATTCATTCCAAGGTTGCAATCGTTGGTACAGAACCCGGGTCGGGTCCGACGTCCATATTAACGTCTAGAAGACCAAAATATTGCCTTCATATGACGTTTTGTTTTCCGGTGTTCCCACTAAGCATGCAGATTGTAAAAACACTGTCATTTTCCAACGTCATCAGGACTTTATCAGGACGTTAAATGACGTGCGGCAACGTCTTTCAAGGTTGCAACTGTGGTACGAACCGGTCGGGTCCGACGTCCCTCTCGACGTCTTATATGACCAAAATATTGCGTTTATATGTCGTCCAATTTACAGTTCTATTGGACTTCACTTAACCTCTGCCGAATCACTTACTGGTCGAGACATAACTTTTTGCAATTAGGCAAGGCAAGTTTAATTGTAGCACAGTCAACAAAAAGGAAACTTTTGTGGAAATTTAAAAAGAATACAATTAGTGTGTTATTTTTGCAAAGAAGAAAGCAGCCAACCGTTCTGTTTAGTTCTGTGCGGTCTGTGCAGGATATCAGTGCTGGTTTCTTAGCCAACCGTTCTGTGATGCTGGTTTCAAAAGCACTTTTTTTTTTTGCCTTTACTTACAACTTTTTGTTCCAGACTTTCTATCATCATTCCTTCCAAATGTTCTTAAGCAAAATATGTAACTACTGTATTGAAATTATAATTTGGTTACATTTATTTTATTTATTTATTTATTTGAATTTAGGACAGTACATATTAATCATGGTGTCTGTAAACAGCGTCAATATAAATAGCGCTGGAATTAGCACAATAGGGGGTAAATCGCATCCATTGTCCGAAGGTATAGGTATAAACCCTTAGACTGTTATATTAACAGACGTAGTCACGCCTATTTCCGCCGTTCTAACTAATGTGCCACAACTTCCCGTCGCGGTCTATGGGCAGTTTCAAAACGGCCGCGGGGGCTGGAAAATGGGAAAAATCGCATCTGCGCATGCATCAGCCAGCACGAGCCCCCATTCATTTAAACGAGAGACTTCAAAAATTCGCAGCGACTAAACTAGCCTCGTCCAAAAAAATTCACTCCCCTCAGCACATTGACACACATGTGGAACGGAGCTTTGGGCCAAGAGCCAACTTTTGGACCATCATGTAAAGACGTTTTCGAGAGGTCACCTAATGCTAATGTCATTCCGGGTCCACCCCCATTGGCCCGGGGTGGTATTGCGCGCACGTCATTTTGGCCACTTTTTAGCCGGGACCCGCCCCCACTGGTATAAACATACAAACACATCGTTTAGGTAAGAGTACAAAACAATAAATTGACAAGCATAACGTAACGGATGTAAAAGAGAAGAGAAAGTCCAAGGAAAAGCAGATCATCTGAGAGTTTGTACTGGTTTGATTTCAAGCAATGTTTCAGGACTCCTTTAAATGTTAGTTAGGTCCCACAGTTACGTATGTGTTCAATGGCAAGTTATTCCATAAAGTTGTGCCTCTGATAGACGCCACCATCTGCGCCCTTTGTACATTACGGTCTCCCGTTGGTTAGTGCTCTGGTTCTGACTCCACTGTTGTTTTTTTACAATTAAAAGAGTGGTTGGTCTAAGGACATTTATTAACATTTCTGGACAGTGGTCATCGCACTCCAATGAAACCGATTGCTTTGTGTTTGTTATTATTGCATTTCCTGTTTCTGAACTCTTTGATTCTATGATCTGTTGTTGGCCAATCAACAATTTTGTTCTCCGAGACGACAGCTGTTGTAATTCATTGCTATATACACAGGACTATATCCAATTGTAATTGAATTGAAGTTGCAGCTCATAATAATCTGACCAGAGAGCAGTGCAGGGTTCTGTCCTTGTGGAGCAGTGAGTGTGGACTTGGCTGATTACATGTGGAATATTGTGAATAGACAAGGGCCACGCTATGAGCAGGAATGCTAATTCATGAGCCGTGAGAGAAATATGTAAATATCAAGGAAAGACGAGCTCAAAAAAAGAAAATCACAAAGAGTTCAGGTGGGAAAAAGTGGAGAAACGTCAAGGATGCTCACATTGAGAGGGATCCGCTCCCACGAACGGATCTGGGCTGTCAATCCAGATTATGAGGCTGTACGATCCAGATCTGAGGCTGTAGATCCAGGACTGAGGCTGTGATCCAGGACTGAGGCTGTAGATCCAGGACTGAGGCTGTAGTACTGAAGCTGTAGATCCAGGAATGAGGCTGTAGATCCAAGACTGAGGTTGTAGATACAGGACTGAGGCTGTAGATCCAAGACTGAGGCTGTAGATCCAAGACTGAGGTTGTAGATCCAAGACTGAGGCTGTAGATCCAGGACTGAGGCTGTAGATCCAGGACTGAGGCTGTAGATCCAGGACTGAGGCTGTAGATCCAAGGACTGAGGCTGTAGATCCTGGACTGAGGCTGTAGATCCAGGACTGAGGCTGTAGATATAGTACTGAAGCTGTAGATCCAGGACTGAGGCTGTAGATCCAAGACTGAGGCTGTAGATCCAAGACTGAGGTTGTAGATCCAAGACTGAGGCTGGTAGATCCAGGACTGAGGCTGTAGATCCAGGACTGAGGCTGTAGATCCAAGACTGAGGCTGTAGATCCAAGGGACTGAGGCTGTAGATCCAGGACTGAGGCTGTAGATCCAAGACTGAGGCTGTAGATCCAAGACTGAGGTTGTAGATCCAAGACTGAGGCTGTAGATCCAGGACTGAGGCTGTAGATCCAGGACTAAGGCTGTAGATCCAGGACTGAGGCTGTAGATCCAGGACTGAGGCTGTAGATCCAAGACTGAGGCTGTAGATCCTGGACTGAGGCTCGAGAGCTGTCCCCTGCCTTTTTGTTGTTGTTTTTGTTTTTGTTTTTTTAGAGCTGTCCCCTGCCATGGTGGACTGGTCATTTACCAGCTGATGTCACTTCCTGAGTAGGCGTGGTCAGCCATGAGTGACGGACTGATGCACTATACCCCCTTTTTCCTGCTCGTCTGTGTGGAAAAGGGGGTCTCATGTGAACGGAACCCCATCCCTCATCCACCTGAGACCCGGGCATTAGGTGGATGAGGGAGCATTTACAGAGCTGACTCCATGTTCTAAAACTATAATTGTTTTGACGTTGTATGGATGCCTCCCTAACCCTAATTCTGCTTTGTGAATCTCTATTTCAATCAGAAATATGTTTTATAGTAATTTTTTTCAAATGCATTTTTCAAACTCTCAGATTTGTTTTTAAACTTTACTTACTACAATACCTCAGAATACCTCAGAGGCGGCATGGAGGCCTTCTCGTGTCTCACCTAGAAAGTTCTGGTTTAGGGCCTTTCTGAGTGAAGTTTGCATGTTCTCCCCGTGTCTTTGTAGGTTTTCTCTGCATGGTCTGGTTTCCCTTAACACTTTAAACATGTGCAATAGGTAAAATCCTCCAGCTTCGGTCCTGACCAAGAGCATCAACATCTGGAGATGGTCTCTCTTGTCTCTCTGGTCACTTTCTCTGGTCACTTTCTCTGGTCTCTCTCTCTTTGGTCTCACTCGGCTCTCTCTCTGGTCTCTCTCTCTCTTTGGTCTCACTCTCTCATCTCTCTTCTGGCCTACCGTGACCACTGCACCTGACACAAGCCTAGTGGCATTGCAGGATGGGTCAAATGCGGACGAGACATTTTATCTTCTACATTTACAGGGATAAATAAAGTACATAAGAACGTTTACTGAACGTGCGTTCACATTGTCTTCATCCACTTTCGAAGCTGATCTTTGTTTTCATTCTATAAAGAAGTGGATGATTGCAGCTAAAGTCAGGCGTTAATGAGAGTCAATCGTTAGCTTTACAAAGTGTAGAAATTCAATCGACTTCCGATGCTAGATTGTAACGTTACGTCTTTCTCAGGCTGTCGCTGGACCCGCGGGACCCAAGGGAGAGCGGGTGAGTCACTGAGAGCCGCATTAACATTCTTTCCTCGGCTTCAATTAAGCGCTATTTAAGCCCATTTACCTCCACACTAATCCAATGCAGCAGATTACAGAGACATGACTTCACATTATGTCTGCGTTTCAGGGTCCGGCCGGTCAGACTCTGGCCGGTCCAAGAGGAGACGCAGGGTCACCTGGAGAAAAGGTGAGTTGGCAAATGTGGATGGAATACTATATCTACCACAGTCAATCAAATCAATCAATTATGTATTCATAACAACCGAAAGTTCTTAACATTGACAACAGTTCATTAAAGCACACTGTAAAACACATTCAAAAGCAAGTTAATTTAACAATAACAGACCGGATGATCCCCTGTCTGATGATGATCAGTCATAACCACACAAAAAAAGTACTGTTTTTTAGCCTAGACTTAATTACATGCTAAGGTAGCAGCCTGGGGGGACATTGTTCCAGATTATAGATGCAAATGATTTGCAGTCCCAGCAAGAGACCAGTCCCTGTGTTCTCCAGAGTCCCAGCAGGAGGTCAGTCCCTGTGCACCTCAATCAGAGTTGGTTTCATATGGCTCTAACATGTCACAGATGAACTTTAAAGTATTTTCTCTGAGCCACAAGAAGTCAGTACAGAGACCTGAGACCAGGACTAATGTGATCATACTCCTGGTTCTATGGTTTGTGTTTGTTAATAAGTGTTAATATGCAGCGATTGTTCTGGTTTGTGTGTGTTTCAGGGTGATAGAGGAGACAGAGGAGCCCCCGGCGGAAAAGGGGAAACGAGTAAGTGACATATAACCCAATAATGAATGTTTTATGTATATATTATACCTGAGAGAGACCAGAGAGAGACCTGAGGGAGACTAGAGCGAGACCAGAGATCAGGATCACAAAAAGACCAGAGAGACAAAGCTAACCGTCATGTTAAACTAGCAGTTATATGGTGCTGTCAGAGTTTACACACGGCATATGAGAAACACGCTGTAAAAACCTCAAAAAAAATCTGCGAAAAAGCAAGGCCACGGAAGGTGAACAACATTGTGCTGAGGGACCACTGTATACTGATATAAATACAATATTCTTCACTATATCACATTTCTAATATAATTCCTTTGTTATGAGTTCAGCTGTTCAAGTTTTGTTTTGTTGAACTCAGAAAATATAGCACATCCCTCTTTTGTGTTCTGAAGAAATGGGATTTAATAATGCATTGTCCTCAGCCGCAGCTTTCTGTGAGTGGTCTTTCCTTTCAATATCTGCTGTAATATTAAATGACCCAAGATACATATAAGGGCCCTTAGAAAATCATGCAAATTCAGGTGAAATCTAATACTAATACAATTATAGTATGATGGTGTGTAGGCTGTAATGTGTGTCTATTTGCTCTCATCCCGGTTCTTCTTTAGGGTGTGGTGGGAGAACCTGGAGAAGCCGGGGAGGCTGTAAGTCATTTATCTTTTGTATTTTTTCATAGGCGATATGACAGGACTTGCCTAAATATTGTGCCCCTGAGTTTCTTGCAACCAGACTGTATACAAATGGACAATGGAACCGTTAATGGAAGACTCCCATTGACTTACATACCAAAAAAAATGGTTAAAAGTAAAGCTCAGTAACCGTTTGTCCCATACACTCACACTGCTAACATGCACAGATGTTTACACACAACTCTATATTTCTTGCACTAGAATATGCTATAATGTGCTAAAGTTAGAGATTTTATACTTGCTTCTTTACAATGCTAAAGTTTAAGATTTTAGATTTGCTTCTTTATTATGCTAAAGTTAGAGGTTTTTTCTTGCTTCTTTAGTATACAAAAGTTTTCAACACTGACTTGACTGATTGTGTAGGACAAATAAAGGATCTCTTAATGTTAATCATTGTGAGTTTAAAAAGTCTGTGGATTAGCGCTCTCTATGATCCTGGTGTTAAAAAAAGCAGAATGTAAAAATCTGGCCAAAAGTGGTACTGCACTCTCCCTAACTCAGGTTGCCAGATATGCAGACGAATCCAGCTGAGTTTTGTCTGCAACAATTCCATAACAAACACCTTTTTGACAAAGATAGAAATCCTGGTTTTATTCCTTGTTCTTTTTTTTGTTCTGTGGCCACATGTTGCTATACCAGTGAGATTAGCTCAACGCGGTGAGTTTTGGCAACCTGGATCACGGACTTTCTGATTGGTAAAAAGTGGACGGCGGGACATCGAAATGCAAACAATTACAAGATTTAGGGGCTGTAAAACTAATTTTGAAATTCAATTATCTCATCTGAACTACTGATAGTGTTCGAAAAACGCCTGATTTATTAATGCCTTTTGACACATTAGGGCAATTTAATGATGACTTGACATGAAAATCTTACATATTGCTACTTCAAATTGTGATATTGTCTTTGTAAATCTAAATTTGAACCATGTTAGGATAATTGCAGATAACCTTGAAAAGTGACACATGTAGGACCATAAACAACAGCACATTATTATCTATGTAGCGAAGCCAGCGCCGTCTGTCTGTGTCTAATTAACGCTCTAAAACCATGACCAGCTCGTTATGTGATTCTCTCATTTGGCGTCTCCAAGGCCATCCATCTATATTCAAATTGTCGCTCTGCGTTTCTTGGGACGTCCGTTGTATTTCAGACCAATCTCCAGAGATAATGGGGCCGTGATTGTGTCTCGTGCTGAAGGTTAATGACAGATTCACATGTGATGAGGATGAAGACGAGGAGATAAACAGGAGGAGCGACCAAGCTAAAAATATCAGAATCACAAATATTTTGTATTGCCATTGTAAGTAACGGGAAGTCACAAAGTAGGAATTTGCTTTGGCTCAGTTATAAGAAGAAGAATAGATATATAAGGCATAAGGCAAATATGCAACACTAAATGACCTTGTCTGAATTTTGTCTGTCTGTGTTTGGTCGTACAGGGAGCGCAAGGTTCTCCGGGGCCCAAAGGAGATAAGGTACAGTGTATTTAAATGTATTATTAAAGCTGGGGTGCCTAATTTCTCAAGCCACATAAATCTGAACTATTTCAAACCCATCTAATGACCGGGGTCCCTCAAAACAGTTTCTATCTTCTATCACTAGTTTTCACATGCACATTTTTTTGGCCTCTGTCACCTGATTAGATGAGCTTTATCAGACGAAAAAGTTAAAAAGAGTAGACCACCCTCAATAGGCCAATCCGTTCTCCACCCAAAGCATCGAATGGTGACTTACAGGGCTCTGTCTTATACAAAAGATGTTTTACTGATCTACTGGAGGCAAATCCAGGAAAAGAATCTCCCAGTCTGCTTTAGACACTGTATCTTACTTACACACTCTCTGGCAATGCTTTTCAGATGATAAAAAGTTGCTGATGTTACTGATTTGATGTGGCTTTTGAAATAATCCGTAGCTGTCTTCTCTTTCTAGGGAGAGAAAGGCTTAGGACTCGCTGGCCCACCTGGACGCATCGGGCCTCCAGGCTTAAAAGTGAGTATTAGAAGTGAATTGCGGGCTAACATATTGTCAACAACATACTGTGCATCCAGAGAGACGTTTTCTATTTTGGTTCAAGCTGAGTTTACCCAGCAGTACATTCACGCATCAGCGAAGTTAGGTGGCAAAGTTATGGGGCCTCTGTTACACCTCACTGAATGTTCTGTACAAGAGGAAACAAAGGCCATCTTTAAATCTGGAAGACATGACAAACCTTGGGATGAGATCACTGCGTGCAAGTTGTTAGTGCTGTACAGTCAATCCTGACAAAATCACATGGACAAAAGACATAGTTCAGGCATTATTTAATACTTGTAAATTTCTCCTATGTGAGATAAATAAAGCAAATCTTATCTTATCTTAATACTCCTTTCCAAGGAGACATGTCTTAAGAGAAAAAGCACAACCAGCTCAGTCTCCTTCCAGAGCATGTCTGACCTTAGTCTGGCAGCAAAGCAGTATTGGAGGAGATAAGACACACCTTCCACAGGAAGAGGAACCAACAGACAGCAAAAGGACAATGTAACAAGGCCTTCTCCATTAGCGTCCGCCATGTGGGCTCCCTCAGACCTCCTGGCACCAAAGTGAACTTCAGCATACAGTACATAATTTAGCCACACATGATTTACCAAAATGATAACTGAAGTTACATACCAATGTCACAAGTGTATTCTCTCGTTTCTCAGCAAGAGGGTGCTGGGTTTGAGTCCACCTCCAGACAGGGCCTTTCTGGGTGAATTTTGCATGTTCTCCCTGTGTCTGCATATTTTTTCCCTCACCACAAAAAAACATGTACAACAGGTTTCTTCTCTCTGGGGCCAGTACTCCCCTGAAACAGACTCTGGATCTCAATGGGACTTTCCTTTTTAAATAAATGCTCAAAATCCTCCACATTGACTTGGCTTTTCTCTTGTGTATCTGGGATTCCTCGGTTCCCCTCACCTCTCCTGGACAACGACATATCTCAGGTGGAATAATGTGGAAATGGTCACTTTTCTGAGAGCAGTGTCTGTGACAATCAGGGCCTCCTAGTGGACTGCTACTGTGTTTGTTTTTTCCAAATTTGTTTTGCAATAAACTCAGTCTACAACACTGAGCCTTCAGGCCTTTGGCCTATTCAATTATTTTTATACTATATATATAAAGTTTGGTTAAAATATCTCATTTGATTATTATAAAACATCACAGATGCAAAGGATGAGCTCGTTTCCACAAACGCTTTGATTCTTGGTTTTCCTGTTTCCCTCTCTTTTCCACAAGTACAACGCGTACAAATGTGTACCTTTTCTTCTGATATTGTTAAAGAATGAGAAGATGGAACAGCTTGAGCCTTGAGGACATTTATCAGGAACTGAACTGTGTGTGCAACTTTAGTGTTTGATTATCTGCACATGCATGGATCCCTTTTCTCCAATGTTAATATATTAGTAATATATTTTGCACCCACACAAACCCTACTTCCTGTTTCTTTCCCTGGTTTGATCCTTAAGATATGCATTAAATCACACTCTCATTCCCTCCTCCACTTCCAGGGAGATCCAGGTCTCCCCGGTCCGGCTGGTCCCCCAGGTCTTCAGGGGAAATCCGGAGATAACGGCGTTCCAGGAGTCAGAGGAGAGAACGGAGCTCCAGGACCTCCGGGACCCTTAGGAGAACGGGTATGAAACACACACACACGCACACCTAGACACACACACAGACACATAGACACACATACACACAGAGAAAAACACACACATAGACACAGAATCACACACACACACACATGCACACATACACACTCAGACACAGACACAGACACACACCTGAGTGAAGGGTCAGCCCTGAGGTGGAAAAGTTACACCTTTATGTTGATGTTAATGTGAGAAATCTTCCATCTTTCAGGGTCTTCAAGGTTTTGCTGGTCGACCAGGAAACCCGGGAGCTGCAGGTCCAGCTGGTCCTGCAGGAGAAACCGTGAGTCCTGTACTTTTACTGCACACAGTAATATGTGGATCCTTCCATTTATTTGTGGATTGAATGTTGTACCCCTTTAATGCACAGGATATTTGCTAAATGTTAAATCTAGATTCACAATTTTATAATTATATTCATGATTTCATAACTATTCATAATTTTAAGACATGTTATGAAGATCTTTTTATGCATTCCTTTTTACTTTTAGAACTGGTTTGTACCTTGAGCAAAAGCAAATTTCCTGTTACTTACAATAAAAAAGTGATAAAAAAGAATTCTGATTCTGGTAAGAAAATGAAAATATAGTGAGAATGATATTTACAAGACGTTTAGCTCATGTGAAATTTCTCTACTGCAGCTCAATTAGAGCACTTACTAATACAAATTTAAGACTGTGTTAAATCAAATGAATATGTTTTTTTGTTTTGTTTGTTTTTTGAAGGGCGCCCCAGGTACAAACGGATCCAAAGGAGACAAGGTGAACACATTTACAATATATCTAATTTGATGACCCGACTCTACTTTACTCTACCTGGCTGTGTTTCCATTATCTGGTTCCATATCCTAGCAACCAACCCACAGTTTGACAGTATTTGAAACACTCCCAATCTGTGTTGAGTAGATCTGAGTAGGGCCAAGCAGGGCTGGTGGAAACTGGACTAGGGAATGGATATAATTGACGTGATTTGTTCTTGTGTTTTCAGGGAGAGGTGGGAGTGGGAACCCCGGGGCAGAGAGGAGAGAGGGGAGAACCAGGAGCAAGAGTACGACTTCACATTTACTTGAGCTTAAGTTGTAAATATTGTAAATGATTCTGACATGTTTAAATCCTGCAGGGGGAAGATGGTCGATCTGGCATTGATGGAGAAAGAGGGTTGACTGTAAGTAGGAACTCCGAGTAGTAGAGGTGTGAGGATCTTGAGAGAGACCAGAGAGAGAGACCAGAGAAACTAGAGAGAGACCTGAGAGAGACACTCCAGAAGGATGAGAGACAGACTAGGGAAAGACCAGAGAGAGAGATGAGAGACTAGAGAGAGACCAGAGAGAGACTAGAGAGAGAGACCAGATAGATGAGAGACTAGAGAGAGACCTGAGAGAGGCCAGAGAAACTAGAGAGAGACCATAGAAACTTGAGAGAGACACTTCAGAAGGATGAGAGAGAGAATAGAGAGAGACCCGAGAGATGAGTGAGAGAGACTAGAGAGAGAGACCAGTTTTCCGGAATGATCCCTTTGTGATTTCAGAAGACTAATTTTGATCAATTCTGAACTCGCTGTTCGCTTTTTTGATCTGTAAAAATTATCACTGAAACAAGACGTGTTTTTAGCTTCCATCCTCTGTATTTGAATAATCTGCAGCGAGCACTCGTAGAACACATACCCCGCCAAGACCACGGATCAACCTTCAGTTTGATTTGATTCGGGTCATTCTACCACATCCCATCCACACCCCAGATTTCAGCTCAGTCTCTTTTGCGCAGTTTTACCTTCAGACAAACACACACAAAATCCCGTTATCTCTTTGTGGGTTCACTATTTGGAATGTTGTGATGTCATCTAAAAGCCAGACATATGAGAAAAAAGGCTTATTAACCACAAGGGCACGGACTCGATTAAAAGAGTCACCCCAATGTTTGGTACTTAACCCACAAACTTGACACAGCCGTAGATCACGAGGGTAAAGAGAATTATTGCAAAATATGTTTTAATTCGGAGTTCAACATTTTGGTGTTACAACTGAGAGAAGTGCATCAGGAAGTCATCTTTGAATAGGGTGGGGCAGGCACCCAAGGGTGTACAGTCACCACACAGAGCATTTCACAATAAATCACATTCACAGAAAGGTGAAAAATATTTTTAAAAAAATGTAATATATATATACATGTACAATAAAAGTCATAAATAGAAGTAGATCTGAATATATAGGGTACAGTACAGTCATAAAGTCACCAGGCACTGTGAAAACACCAGTGTCCTACACATTTTGCCATATACACATACTACTGTATCATAAAACCTTCTAAGTTTACCAGAAAATGTTTTTATAAGAATATGATTACATTATAAGTGTCATTCTGGCCTTTTGGAGCTGTCTGTAGTGTGTGGGTCCAGTAAGTCTCTCTCTGTTTGAGCAACCGGTCGTGGTCTCCTCCTCTGGGTGGAGGGGGGACCTGCTCAATGCCACAGAATGTTAGAGCACTGATGTCGTGGTTATGGTTCCAACCACAGGGAAGTCTGTCGCTCCTATGGATGGTTCTCTTGTGCTCACTGATTCTCTGTTTTAATGTCCGAGTGGTTTTACCAATGTAAGCCTGATCACATGGGCACTGTAGCACATAAATGACATGTGTGGATGCACTGGTGATCATAGCCTTAACTCACAACAGCGGTCGTCTTGGAGGACTATACAAAGTTGTCGCTTCACCAACAGCAGATGAGAGAATCAAACCGGAAATACAATATAATAACAAACAAAGGATCCATTTATCCATTAGGAGCGGGGTGACCACTGTTTAGAAATGTTATTAAATGTCCCAGATCATCGCTGTACTTAGACCCTCCAGCATCGGCAAGAAACCCCTCAAAAAATGAAAAATCAGTTCTAAAAACTAGAGTTAAACAAAGAATATAAAGGCCTGTAAATCAGTGTTTTCTCGCTCAGATAAATCCATTCATCACGTTCCCATAAACAACACTGACACATTCTTTTGTTGTGTCCAAACATTGGCATTTCTGACTCACCCTGCTCTAATCAACACCGCGGCCCCAGGAGAAATCACACCATAATTATTTATTTGTGTAGCGGCTGACCAAGCACAACCGCCTCGGGGACTTCACACGCAGACTCTCATTTTTCACTTTTTTCATACTGTTATTTTTGTTTCAGGGGTCTCCAGGGGTCCGAGGCACTAGGGGTGACAAGGTAACCACTCATTAAACGTAAAAAGTTCATTATGTTGTCTTTATATTTTAGGCTTAGAAGGTTCTTTTAATGAGACAAAAGTGTAAAGAAGCTTAGTTATCACATGACAGATACGGAAACTAATACAAAGAGCCCTTGGAAAATTCAATTAATTTTTTTTGGGTTTGTTTCTATCACAATTATAGCTGTCTCGGAGGACTTTACAAAGTTGTCAATTTGCTGACACAGATAAGAGAATCAACCTGCTCAAACACAAGAAATGCAACATTAAAAATCCATCAGCGGCAGATCAATGAATATTCATGTTGATAAATGTTGTTGAATGTTAAGTGTTCTCCATCATCAGCACTGTCCTTAGACCCTCCTGCATTGGCAAGAAACAACTCCCACACATTTTTTTTTAACGCAACACTAGCACAGGGGAAAACAACAACATAAGTATTGTTATTGTCATTGTTTTCAAATATCTACTTATCTATTCTTTTTGTACGTTGTTTCTTTATTGTTAGTTGCCGTTTGATTGTCATAGTTATTGCATCCTGGTCTATATATGTGAAAGAGTATATGTAGGTGTACATGTTTGTATATATTTCTCAGCTTTATATCTCCCAGAAGCTCAAACACTTACACATGCACGCACGCACACACACACACACACACACACACACACACATACTTACCCTACCCTAACCCCAGTAGTACCTTTGTTGTTTATTGTACTGTAACTATGTATTTTCCTGTATGCCTAAATAAAAATAAAAATAAAACAAATAAACAACTCTGGAAAACCCAGTTTCACATGACATAATGGACCAGGACAAGACAAGGCAAAAACAGTAGGATGGATCTGATGGAGAGACCAGAGAGAAAAATCATTTCATCTAGATTTACAATCATATGTGTCTCCTCTGACGAAGGCAAAGGCCAAAAATGTGTTAATTAAGCAGAACTAGCTTCTTTACACTTATAATAATAATAATAATAATGAATGGGTTTTATATAGTACTTTTTTGGACACTCACAGATGTTTCACATGTCATTATTCTTTCACTCCATACACCTGGTATTCCCAGAGGTCTCCCATCATAGTACTAACCAGGCCCTATCCTGCTTAGCTTCAGAAGTCCGACAGAATCTGGCTTTCATATGCAGATGTCTTATTAAGAACCTTCTAAGCCCAAGGTAACCAGTCACAAGGCCTCTTCCTCTTGGTATTCTAACACTGTCATGTTATCTGCGAGGCCCTAAGCGGTTTGGCCGTGTGTGAATGAGGTGTTGAAGTGCAGCTGTATTTTCTCTTTCCTCAGGGAGACATCGGGCCACAAGGTGACAAAGGAGAAAAGGTTTGTGCATCTTAATATCCAATCAGCCGTCTTCTACAGTCTGGGACGGAGCTCAAAGGGGCTTCAGAAAGGGGATTTTTGTATGATAGTTTTCTGCCTGTTTGTATTTATTGATTTTAATTTGTTTATGTTATATCAGCGACGATGCACTATAAACATTAGTGAATAAACAAGAACATATTTGTTATGTGCACTTTGATCCAAGTCAGTGTCTGAGTAACACGGGATCAACTGAACTGGGGAATTTCACGTTTTGCCGTCAACAGTCTCACACCCGACCTGAAGGGTCAGCAGTGGTCTGAGAGTCTATGGTCAGCCGTGTGCCGACAATGTTTAATGACAATGAGATCTAATGAGCAACATGTTACGCTCAGCAAAACAACAAAGTCCATCAGCAGGGAGCGGTGTGTCATATGTGCGTCTTCAGTGTGTGCGCTCAAGCGGTTTTCATCCTCTGCGCCTTTATGCACAGGCCGCGGCTGATGGTGACGCTAAAATACTGTTAAACAGCAAACAAACCAGACATCTCTTCACAGGACAGAACACGTGCATGGTCAAAGTAGACAGTAGTAAATTGGTGTGAGCGTTTCTGACAAATAACACTAGCACTGTGCAGTTGCATGAGTTTAGTCAATCTGCCGTACTGTCCTGCATTGGGGAAAAACACAAGGCGGAAGTGGTGGTCAGGCATTGATGCTAACGGCGGTACTTCATCAACGAACACGCTAGCATTACTCGTTTACAGTCACAGTACAATATAAACTCAGGGTGAAGACATATGTTCACAAGCAGTGTGTCCCCCTTTCCCAGCCCTGGTTTAGCTCCTGTTTGGGTTGATTTTGAGTGTCTGTTTGGACCGGCTTGTTTCCCTGTGACCACTTTGCTGCTCTCTGATTGGTTGCCACATGTGTGTAAAGCGAGGATGTTCATCTCCTGCTTTCGCTGCATGCATCTAGCCGCCGTACCTGCCTCTGTCTCTCCGCAACAAGGCATCTGCCGTACAGGATAAACGTTCGTGCTGCGACGAGGATGCAATTCCTCGCATGGACGGACGTCATCGTTGACTTTGCATTGAAAGTCGCCATGCCGTCATTGAAAGCATAACTTTGGCTTTAAACATAATAAAATGTGTTACATGTATGTTAGCCAAACCTGTAGCTGCCCTCAGCAGATGAAGGACAAGGAGGCTTTCCACCAGAAAGCCTCCTTGTCCTATCGCCCCCTACCTGGAGGCTGGCTTCACTTGGGGATTTCTCAAGCCGTGGTTGAGCGCGATAAAGACCCATTTTTGTTGTCAATAACACAATTTATGCCCCATCCACTCAAATGCTCTGTTTAAAGGAAATATATTTGAACTTTATAAATTGCGATAAACAGAGAAAATGGAACAATCCGCTGCACAGGCTTCTCCCACTGTGAGTTGCGGCTTTTACGTCGCCCAAGTCTGCCTTGCCTCACATCGCCGTCAAAAATGGGAAGCCTAACGTGGGTTTTCATTGCGCGCCATTGTGTGAAAGAATCTCCCAAAAACAGTCTTGTTTGACAAGCATGTACGACGGCCTTACGTCACATGTCACCAGAATAATTTACAATTTGAAGGATCAAAAGTCTAGATCCACCTGGTAGATGAAAATCCTCCTACATACCTTTAAGTCTATGCCTCGGTATATGCATATTTCAGTAGTGTGACAACACAACGGTAGACATATTGTATTAAACATATTCTCATCATTGCTACTACTGTGCAATAATGTAACCACGCTTTATATTTATGACTTGTGTGTGATTAAAAATTGAGTTGTCTGATTATAAATGCATGATGTTTTTGCAGGGAGACACTGTTCTGGTTGGAGGACCTCAGGGCGAAAAGGGCAACAAAGGAGAGCAAGTGAGTGTCTAATGGAACTGAAATCAAAGATGGCAGTGAAGCTACAAGAAATAAACCGTCCACTTGTATCATTTTTATATTGCCTATAGAATGTGCGATTTATGCAGCTGTGTCTTAGATTGCACAGTAGATGGACAATGCTAAACTGCTTGCTCAAAGACGGCCATTAGGGATAAAGTTTGCCTCCAACTCGCTCTGGCTTCTATTGACTTTCATTGAAGAGTAAACCTATCTCGCCCAGAAATGATTTGTGTCACCGAGAGAGACCATAAAGAGACCAGACATAGACCAATGAGAGGCTGCAGAGAGACCAGTGAAAGACCAGGGAGACCAGAGAAAATCTGTGGTTTAGCACTCTCTTTGATCCTGTAGTTTATATTCTAATATTTCATAAACACAGTTTCCAAAATTGTGCTGTACAATAAAAGACTAATTAAAACCAATCCATAGTAAAAAAGTAAAATCATCAAAATCACACAAACCGCGTGTGCATATACAGTGTACATATGAAAATAACAGTAAAACTAAATAAAAAGGACCCTACAACTCACGCAATGTCAAATGCCAAATCATACAAATGGGTCTTAAGACAGGACTTAAAACACTTCACAGAAGGAGCAGTTTGAATCTGGGCATAGCTTTGATCCAGCCACAGAAAAGCCCCTTTCCCTCCTGTCTCATCCTAGGTACTTGGTAATATTGTTGTTGTAAATCCAGATATGAGCCAAATAAAGATTGACCAATAAGATGCTTTCATTCACGGTGGAAACTCCAGCTTGCCTTGGTAACTGTCTTAGCAACACGTCTCCCCCTGTTTCGGCGAGAAGCTAACACTGTCAGAACAAATGCCCATATAAGGATATTGGTTCCAGCTAGCTTATGTTCAAATTGGGCCTCTTCCTCATTAATGCTGCTATGATGATGTCACACTCGTCAGCCCACTCCTAATATGCAATCTGTGTTTTAGGGCGATCGTGGACCAAAGGGAATCCAGGGAGAAAAGGGTCTGAAGGGTCAGGACGGTCCCGCAGGAGAACAGGTACCTCACCCCACATTAAAGCAGCAATGTGCACAAAGAACTCCTTTTACAAAACACAGACAGATGCAAGATGAACACAGACCCTTAGATCTGCAGTTGGATAAAACATAAACCAATTTCATTCCTTATGTAGACGTACAAGCCCATATGGCAGGTCAGACTACTATCTAACAGAGACAGCAAAGCAAGTTTATTTGTTTTTGTATGGTTTGAGTACATGAGGCACGGACGCTTAAACCATGGTCAAAACACAAGTAATCTTTATTTTGTATAACGCTTTACAAAGACCAGAGTCACAAAGCGTTTTACTATTGCTGTGGGCATTCGTCCTCTCACTCAACACATGGGAGTGGGTTCACCATTCAGGAGGCAATTGTCATGCCTACTGTACATATTTTTAGTGATAGAGGAAACCGGAGCCCCTGGAGGAAACCTATGCAGACACTGGGAGTACGTGCTTACACCACCCAGAAAGGCCTGGAGGTGGAATCAAACCCAAGCATGCACAAGCGCTAACCACTGCGCCAATGAGCCAAGAACCAGCAAAAACTCCTTAGCAACTGTTGCTATGACCAAAATATAGACACGCAAACACAGAGGACAAAAGGTTTAAGATTTAACAGAATTTTAAATATTTAGCATGTTTAGCAACTTCTCTCAACATTCAGCTGTTGAACAAGCCTCAACTAAAAGGAAATAGTTTGATGGATAATTTTACCTTGTTCAATCTCAAAACGAGATTCTGAATCTCAGGTGTAGCTCTCCTGGTTAAATAAAGGTCAATATAAAAATGTTTAGCTGTGGGATCTTAAAGGTCGTGTGTTACTGTTTCAAAATCCAAGACCACAGCTTGTCGCGCAGCAGAAGACTCCATGTTTTTACTGTATATATTTCACATGAGTAGATTCTGTCTCATGTCTGACTCTTTGCTGCAGGGCCTCAGAGGAGAGCCGGGGGAAAGCGGCTCGACTGGTTTCCCTGGAGCTCGCGGCCCCGGTGGTCAGAAGGCAAGTGCAGAGATGACTATCATTTAACCTAAAGAAAGTCAGGAGCTGGAAGCAGCTACTTTTACCTTTATAATAACTATGATTGTGCGTGCTCTCTGCAGGGGGAAGCAGGCCAGCCAGGAGTACCTGGAGAATCGGTCAGTTCATGTCATTACTTCTCTCATGTTTGATTTTCCCCAGGGCCGAGTGAGGATGTCATGTGGGAAACGATGAAGCCGAAATCTACACAATTATAGAAATTCAATCCAATAGCTCATCCTGTTGCAAATGTGTATTGCTTTTATATTTATGAAACAAATACACATTGCTTACAGTGTTTTCAGCACTTTACATTTGATATTTAGCACACGCAAATTAAATTGATACAGTAGAGCCAACTATTGCAATAGTTAATTAAATAATCTGTCTCAGGCTGGTAATTTACATCTGAGGTTTATGTCACTCTATTATGTCTTCTTTTTGACGCTGTAGTCCATTGTATTTGAAAGAATTTAATACAATACTATAGTATTGTCACATTTTTGTCAAATCCCACCCCTATAAGCCACTATTTTTTTTCAAACCTGTGGCCAATGTGTCTATTTGTGTTATGTCAGAGCGCCCCCTGGGGTGAAGCAAGGGATGTGGACATAGCTCTATCAGTGTTGATCTCCAGAGCTGATGATGGAGCGCACATTCCTGCTTCAGCGCGTTTATGTGAACAGCAGAGAGAGATGAGGAAGTACACGGGACAAGTTTATGTGATTAGGGCTGTTGTAGAGCAGTTGATGGACTTATTATTTTGACTCCATACATTTGTGTAGGGATGATATTTCGATCATCACAAGTCAATTTTTGTATCACCTTAAATACAACATGAGTTGTCTCAGAGGACTTTACAACGATGTTTATTCCTCAACAACAAATCAGAGAATCAAACAGTTCGAACACAGGAAATGCAAAAATAGCTTACACATGAGAGCCTTTGGTCCATAGGAAGCAGGATGACCACTGTCCAGAAATGGTCTCTAATGTCTTAGACTTCAAAATAGAATAGTGGAAAAGAAGTGAGAAACTCCTGGGAGAGAGATTTGCTCCCACTGACTGAGGCTGTAGATCCAGGACGGAGGTTGTAGATCCAGAACTGAATAGGCTCCCATCCCTCGAGTCTGAGTCCGGGGGTATAGTATCAGCCAGTCATATAAAGAGCCAGACTGTGATTTCTATACAAGGTAGAATTCGGAATATGTTCCGTCGTGTTCATTTAATCATCAGAAACACACCTGGATCACCTGCTTGTCCCTCTTGTCTAGGGTCTGCCCGGAAAAGACGGTCTCCTTGGATACAAAGGCAACAAGGGCGAGCTCGGCGTCACCGGCCCGCGAGGCATCAAGGTATTCTCATTTTACTGCATATTTCTCCCCCACCGATAGATCTCGTCCCCACTCCAGCCATGACACATCATTCAAGCCTGAGTGATGGCGGCCGCGGCTCGATAAACGCGTAGAATCAATTTGATTTTCAAGGGATTAATACGATACACTGGGAGATGAGGGGAGTGCCTTCATACAGCCAGGATTGTGACGCTTCTCGGCAGGTGTATGTGCGTGGATAGCCTCTAGTTTGAATTGGTGAAGGACTTGAGTGCCGGTTTGGGTGGTGGGGGTGTGGCTGGGAAATAATGGAGGCCGTGAAAGAACAGGCAGGCTGTAATTCAGGGGAAATACGGCCGCCAGGTTTCGATCGGTCTTACACAGCTATGATAATCTTTTGTTTCTACCCTCTTAGATTAAATGCCAATATGTTTTTCCCTAATGGTTCATGTATTTTATAAGTTGGTGCTTATCCTGTGCCTTTGTATTTACTGTAAGGCAAGGCAAGTCCATTTGTAAAGCACAGTTCAGATTCAGTTTATTTGCCATTTACAGTAAAACCACATTGGAATACACATGTAGAAGTACCCCAGTGTGCAAGTACATAAAAATAACAAGATGAAAAGAACAAAAATAACATACCTCAGGTAGAATTGCTCCTGCAATAAGTCAGGAGTGAATGGGGTTCTCAATAAAATGAAATTACATGAAACAAAAGAAGTTGTTATCTTACTGAGATGTCCTGCATCTTCGGCCTGAAGGAAGAAGCTGGAAGATGACTTTTCCAGGGTCCAGAAGTGTCATTGATTATTTGAAGATCTGGATTTAAAAGTCTGGATTCATAAAGAACCTCCAGAGTAGACAGCTCACAGCTCACAGTTGTCTTCCAGAGTGGAGCACTTGTTTAGAGCTCTCCTTTCTTCAGCTGTGATGTTACAAAACCAACAAACACAAGGCGTTTCATACACAGGGCAACTCAAAGTAATTAACAAAACAAGAAAGGAACCATAAATAATCACAATGCATATCCACACTAAGAAAAACAGTGCGTGTAGTAGACCCTTGTTGCAGACCATGGAGTTAGTTAAGATTTGGAAGTTAGGTACCCCAGCTTCTTCTTCTTCTCACCTTAGTCCCAGTTCTGCCAATCAGATGGACAAAATAAAAAAATATTTTTTGTATAGCCCAAAATTCCAATAGTAGTTATCTCGGAGGACTTTACAAAGTTGTCAATTTGCCAACACAGATCAGAGAAGAAACATTTTAAAAACAGGAAAAGCAATCATAAAAACACATAGAGCCATTGGCCCATAAGGGGCAGATGACTAATGTCCATACATTTAACAAAATGTCCATAAATGTTGATGAATGTGGAGTGTCCTGGATCGTCATCACTGTCCTTAATGTGTTTCTAATCCTCATTCTAACTTGTGAAGCACCTTGCTAGACTTTCTCTGACAGGCGCTCTATAAATAAAGGATATTTACCTGCTTACTCACACGTACTTAGAGTGCAATTTTTCCTCGACAATGCTTTGTGATTGTACCTTGTCTACTCGCCTTTGAATCACATGATTTGCAATTTCATTAAAGGGGAAATAGTTAGGAATTGCTTCAGTCTTCAGCCCAGGCTGATGAAATCTGGGTCCTTTGCATATAAAGCAATCCAACTCTTGTAAAACTCCTTCAGACCTATCTGCGTCATTTGCCATTAAAAAAACACAAAGAGAAGAACAAAAAAAGCACTCAATCTCGCACTACTTCCTTAGTGTTTCAGAGACACACAGCGGCTGTCCATTAAGCATTGTAAGGACCAGAGTATTTTGGCCCCAGTTCTGCGTCAGCACTGACGGGTGATTCAGAACCGAGAGCGTTGGTATTTCTGAGCAGAGAAGACTTGTGCATTTTGTTGCGTCTGTTATGAAGGACTTTCTATGGGCTTGGATTGAGCTGTGCTTGGGTTTTGTTTGTTGGCAGGGAGACAGAGGACCCAAAGGTCTCTGTGGAGGAGAGGGAGCCAAAGGAGACAAGGTATAAAATAACTTCCCCACGTCACAATGTCACACTTCAATGATTCACTCGTTTTCACACAAAAACAGTATGGACTTTACTTTTCTTCATCACTGTGAGTTTAGTTTTAGGGTCACTGTCACAGTTCAGTATTGGAGCAGTTTTGAACACGGAGCAAAGACAAATTGAACCTCGAACCCCAATCCTCTAAAACCCCAGTGGGAGCGTTGTCTGTCCAATCTTTATGCATTTATTTGTTTATTTGGATCCCCATTAGGTTCCACAAATTGCAGATAGTCGTCTTGGATTGCACACAGGATCATTTCACACCACTAAAGTTCAATATTTCAGGAAATTTACTTGGAACCACACACTTGGGACACCGCAGGATAATTAAGAAGTAAAAATAAAACACACATTAGAAATAAAATTAAAAAAGGAAATAAAACACATTTAGAGTGAAGGAATGAAGTGAAATGAAGTGGAGGAAGTGTCTGGGGGGGAGGGAAGTCTGGACAAAAACAAAGTGTTTTTAATTTGTTTCTTTATCTTCAGGGGGAAGGTGGGGTTCCTGGCCGCTCGGGATTACCAGGACGAAAAGGAGAGCAGGTTTGTAGAGAGCTGTCACATTTAAGAACTGTCACGTGTTGTCTGTTTAATTCTCCGCTTCCTGCAGGGGGAGCTGGGGCCCGCGGGGGCCCTTGGCAGCCCAGGAAAAGAGGGACTCGTCGGACCAAAGGTTTGTCTGATAAAACGAAGGAATCATCAACACAAGCGTCTGTAAAGGTCAGGGCTGAAGAGCTGTGTGTGTGCAGGGCGACCGCGGCATCGACGGACCGTCCGGATCTAAGGGAGCGCAAGGAGAGAAGGGGGAACGGGTATGGATCATTATTCAGCCAGAGTTGTTCTGCAATAAGGCACAATCCACTCGTTAAGACTTTGACACCACATGTGATCCAAGGCAAGTTCACTCATATGTTTTTTCATGCAGGGCCCACCCGGGTTACCCGGACCCACAGGACCCAGGGGAGCAGACGGGGCTTCAGGTCTGACCGGGACCCAGGGACCTGCTGGAGCTCCAGGACCTGAGGGACTTCAAGGACAGAAGGTGCAAATACAATTCAATTCTATTCATGTATTCATGTAAAACTATTTATGAACTAGGCAAAAACATGTATGCAGTCCCCGTATAATTCTAAGATCTCATTCATACTAGCTGGATCTTAGTACCAGTGGCTAATTTAATGAAGATCTAATCTCCTGACTGAACTCTCCAGGTGACGCCACTTCTGTTGTTGGTTTCTTCTATACCAGTTCGTTGTCAAATTGCATGTTATTTTATTATAGTTGTTATGTTATGTTATTTTGACAGTCCAAAGATTGCTTTCAAAACATGTCAAGGTCACATAGTTATCTGGCGTAAAAGAAACAAATAACTATGTATCTTGAAATTTACCTTTGACCTCTCAGTGATCAGATCCAAATCAAAGAAATAATCTAATTTTAAGATCATTTTAAGAGATTATAAATCTATGTATTTTTGTCCACATATTGGCCGCACTGGAATACAAGCCTCATGTTTTCATGTTGTAATGTAACTTCACAACATAATTAAATCCAGTCTATTTGGACAATTACATTCTACTAAAACCTGATGCAGTCAAAGTAAGTACTCTGCTCTGAGGGCGACAGTGGCTCAGATGGTAGAGCATTGGCCTTTGAGTCCGAAAGTTGTGAGTTTGAGCCCACTGTAAAGCCCCTGCAGGAGGATCAATGAGGGGCTGGTGCTGTGTGAATTGGGTGCAGCTCTGACTGCCACCCCCCCAACCCAGAAATGGATAAAGGGGAAGAAGGTAGATGGATGGCTCTGCTCTGAATCTAGCCCTAATTGCATAAAACAAGTCCTGTGTGTATTTCTCTGCGCTTCCTCACCTCTCGCTGCTGTTCACATAAACCCGCTGAAGCAGGAATGTGTGCAACATCAACTCCAGAAATGTGTCCAAAACTTCTCCACCTCAGGATGAATGAGATAACAATATATACTTAGGCCACAAGTAGTGAATTAATTGAATATTGAATAATAATAATTAGTGCTGTCCAAAATATCGCGTTATTAACGCGTTAACGCAAATCAATATTAACGGCGTCATTTTTTTTATTGTGCAATTAAAAAAAAAAAAGAAAAAAAAATTTTTACTTTTTATTGCAGACAAACACATATACAGAAAAAAAATAGAAACAAAGAAAAGGACTAGTTCAGATACATTGTAGACAGAGATTACAAACAATATGTACAGGGGGCCAAAGAAGAAACCCAGAAGGGCACATAGGAGGGGGGGGGACATGAAGTGGGAGATGGGGTGGAGGGGTTAATAAAAAAGGCAATACAAGCAAACAGTATACAGTCATAGATATACCGAAAGTGAACAGAGAAACAGCATAGAGTATTTACATGAACAAATTTACAAAATATTAAAAAAAGCAATTGCACACAGCACGCCTATTCACTTTTTAGTAGTATTAAAATGATAATTCAAGGGACATAAAGAATAGATACAAATGCGTGACTAATTTGCGATTAATCGCGAGTTAACTATGAAATTCATGCGATTAATCGCGATTAAATATTTTAATCGTTGGACAGCACTAATAATAATATCTAATTTCTTTCATTTTTTCCTGTTTGACTCAGTCACATGTTGAATTTATCTTTGCCATTATCCAATAGCATTATTCAACTACTGGAGGACTAAAGGGGGCGTGAACGAGTCTGGGCCGTTTATATTGCTCTGGGCGGGGGGCTGCTGACGTCAGGTCTTGCTGCCGCGCCAGTGTTGGCGCCAGATTCAAAATTCAAATGTAGTAATACAGGTCGCCAGCAGATGGCGCCTCACAGACGGTTTTAGGCAGAAAGTTTAACTTTCAACTAATTTGCACCAAAGTGACAAAATTAGGACCAGGATATGTAGACAACACTATTGGACACTCATTTATACCGTTTATCAGCAAAAAAAAGTGGATTTGAGGGTGAGTTGTCCTTTAAAACAGTGTTTTTCAACCACTGTGCCGCGGCACACTAGTGTGCCGTATGATATTGTCTGGTGTGCCGTAAGAAATTCGTCTACTTTGTCTAAAAATAGCTGCATTCGCTGTTGACGAGCGGTGACTTGTTTTGAACTGTGAGTAACCATGTAATACTTTTTCAAATCAGTAGATGGCAGCAGATAGCTAAGTACTTTGAAACTGAAAAATTGGATGCGACCACTGGCTGTAACAGGTCAGCATTGTGGCGAGAAAGGTAAAATTGGATGCGACCAACAAATGTGGGAGGGAGCGAGACAAGAGCTTTGTGGCGAGTGAGAAGTGAAAGTGATAGAGACGTTTTTGAAAATGAATTATGCCGTTTCTGAACAGGATTAACATCCTCCGCTCTGCCCCGGGGCAGCTGTGGCCGCGTTGTAGTGGTTTAACTATGAAATGTACAATTTTTGTACAACAGCTCTCGCAAACGCACTTCTGAACTGGGTACCGAGCGCAGACCATAGTCGAGTGGACAGAACCATAGACATGCGGACCGGACAGAACCATGGACTCGCGTTCAGGACCTCCCGTGTCCCTCATCCATAACTCCTGAATTTATAACTCGGATACCAACATTTTTCCCATGCACTAACAATGCATGTTCTTTGTGTGAGTTATTATTTGACTATTTGAGCAGAGAGTGGATTTTCTTAGTTTTTTTTCCACACAGTTAGTGCCACTTTATTCCCAAACTCTTGTTAATTGTATCGAGAAATATTAAATAAAGCTTAATGTCAAGGCCTGGACTTAAGCATTTTGATGAGAATAACTGTATATTGTGAATATAGGCTACAGAGTATACTGTATACATTATAAGATAAGATATACTTTATATATCATACAGAGTATGTACAGTATATATTTTTTTACATTAGTACTGTATACATTTTTACATTTTCTCCTGGAGGTGTGCCGCAAGATTTTTTCAGTGAAAAAAGTGTGCCTTGGCTCAAAAAAGGTTGAAAAACACTGCTTTAAAATACTCAAATGATTTAAAATGTATGCACTCATCTTATTAACAATCTTCAGGACCTCTGAGTCTTGTTCCCGGAGTGCAGAACCCTATTGTACATGTTTTTAGTGGTTGGCAAAACTGGAGCACCTGGAGGAAACCTATGCAGATATAGAGAGAGCAGGCAAACTCAACACTCAGAAACAGCGTCCAGGGGTCAAAACCACAACCTTTTTGGTTTCACTCTGTCACTGTTAGCCAAGTTTTAAGAAGCCACATGTCAAATAATGCACCACCCCACTAAACATCAACCTCCAGATCACGTCAATATTGCGTCGGTCGGTCGTGACCTTTTATTCACGTCCAAACGACGTCTGTGCAAGGTGCGCATCTGGACGTAAAACAATGACGTCCAATCCCGACCTCCCCTAGACGTGGAAAACAGGTCATTGGCCGTCCGACGCAGTACGTCTTGATCTAGCAATACAATATTATAGGCTGTGAAGCAACCTAATGGTGCGTTCAGACCAAACGCGATTTCTGCGGCCAAAGCGGCGGGTCTACATTGACACAACATGGGGGACGCGCGCCAAGGAGCGGCGAGAGATCACGCGGCGCGATTCGCGCGGCCAGAGCGGCGCGAATTCGAGCGTTTTGCGCGATTCGCGCGGCGTGTTTTGAGATGTCAAGCGTTTTGACGCGCGTTTCGCGCGATTCGTGCCTCCAACGCGGCCGCCGCTAGAGTTGAACAATGTTGAACTTTTTGGGAGAATTCGCGTGTGCCGACCAATCAGGAGCTTTCTCCTCCAGTGACGTAGTGACGCATTTCACTACCGGAAAAACACTGGTAGATGACAGCTATGGAGGACACGTCAATTGCTCAGGTCGGTGCTCATTCTGAGCTATATAACACTGCGGACCACAGCTACCGGGACCGAAATAAAAAGGAGCTTGCTTGGAGGAGGGTTAGCGAGGTGGTTGGTGTCTCGGGTAAGTTATTTTAACTTTTCAATGTTGTAAATATTTCCCCGCGAAAAAAACTACTACTTTCCTGCTTACGAGTTGATGTGTTTATTCAGTGGAAGTTTGCAAAAAGCGGTGGAAGAATCTGAGGGACACATATGAGGTGCTGAAGGTCGGTGTCATGCAGCAAACGGAGACCTCGAACAGTTGGAAAAAATACATTTCTTTCCTTTCTATTACCCACATTTTGCTGACTTTTACATTTATATTGCTTTCTGTGTATGCATTTCTTTTAATGCTTTCTTAACATCATGGCCAGGTGAAAATAGGCATTGGCTATTTTCAAACCAGGATAGATCTTGATCATGTGTTGTGTTAAATTTCACTTTTCCCTTTTATATGAACAAATCATTTAAATGTACATAATAATGTACATTATTATGTACATATAAATGTCATAAGCGCAATGTACACATGATATGAAATAATTGTATTTCTTGTTTTCTTCTGGCACAGACACTGCCACCACCACACAAGGTGAGACATCTTGGCCTGAGCTGCTGCTGCTGCTGCTGCTGCTGCTGCTGCTTCCTCAGCCGGTTCTTCTTCTGTGAGGGCTGGATCTTCCCCTGCTTCTGCACCTACAGGTGTGGCTTTTTTTAATCATTGTTTTATTTTTATTCTTATTACAGGACTGTTCATATAAACAAAATGTTACTGCATAATATGCCAAAATTACCCAAGGGCTGTTACATCAGTGTAGACGACAAATTTACAGAGAAACGACAAGATGTCAAGGCACTACAGGTGGAAAGAAGCTTTGGTCTGATACAACACATCTTCCCTCTTTCTTTGATAAAAACATACTACTGAAATACCTTATGCTATAAAAGTACTGAACAAATACATGCAATGGTTGCCACAAGATGGCAGCTATCCTGTTTAATGCAGACAATAGAGTATTACTTTTTTACAGCCAATTTCAAATTTCATTGCGAAATACACTTCAGAGATATTAGTTTGTAACTGTCGAAATTTGTGCATGTGTGAGTAATTTCATTGATAACTGCAATGTTCAAGTTAATTGTAACAAACACACAACTTAAAAGTGTTTTACATGTGTTTAACTATGTCTACACACTCTGGCTTTAATACAGATATTATTTGCTCTCTTCATTTTGCTTTTTTGAAATACATGTTCCACTTTTTAACACTGTGATTGCCCTGTGTTCTTTGTTGGCGGCTCTACGGACGTGGGCCTCTTCCGAGCCCTCTTCCTTGGTGGGCCTTCAGAGTGGGAGCGGGAGCTGCTGGAGACTCTACGGACCAAAGCAGCCGCACCGCCCCACTACACAGAAGACCATCAGTTCCTGCTCTCTCTCTTTCCTCTCCTGCAAAGGGTGGCACCAGAGTCAAAAGAATTTGTGAAATTCAAAATGTACCAACTTTTATATGAAAGCAGCACCGTTCTGCTTAATTTGGAACCATTGGCCAGTACAGTTTTTTTTTACCTAAGGTGACACCTTTTGCAGGGGAGGAAACAGACATGTGTCCCTTTCCTCTTCCACCGCACCTCCTCCAAGCAAGCTCCTTTTCATTTGTTTATATGTACATTTCATTTATTTTTCATTGTTTGTTACTTTTTTTATAAAGAAAATATTTTTCAAACCTCATGTGTTCTACTTCAAGCCAACCATTACTACCTTTCATATAATATTGACAGAAAATGCTATTCTATATTTTTACATTTACTTTTATAAGAGCTGACTGGGTTTTATAGAAGATGGAATAACAAACACTTAAAGAGCGATACAGTAGTTGACAGTATTTTTTATTCATTTCACCTTTTACTGTTTTAACAACCTTGTAATTATGGAAAAGCTTGAATGTGCATATGATTAACCTGAAGTTGGAGTGGAGTCGCAGTGGAGTCTGGCAGTCATTACCTAGAAACAGAAGGTATACAGGTGAATAGAATAGTGCAAATCAATATGGGTTTGGACTATGGCCAGATGTGGGTCAGTCTTGTGGTGGACATGACTACTCTGTGGGCTGCCACGGCAGTGCTCCCTCCTCACTGAAGTGGGCCATGAACACTTTCCTTATGTCCACTGCTGGCTTCCAGGCGGCCATCCGCTGCACGCCTGGAAGTGGTTCTTCACCGGCAGCAGCTCCCCTCGGTGCAGGAACCTGCCCATCTCCAGCCATCCTCATCCTCATCCTGGAGATGGGCAGGGCGCATTAAATTGCAGCGCAGTGAAAAGGCCTCATCTGCCACGAACACATGGGGCTGGGGTCCTCTGTGGTCAGCTCCAGGTATGCACTGGTCAGGAGGCAGGTCGAGTGTGCCCTCGCGCAGAGCCTCACCAAAGGCAGAGTTGGACACGATGCCTCCATCGCTGGATCTGCCGTACCCTCCCACATCAATCACCCTGAACCTGTACTGGGCATCCACTACAGCCAGGAGCACAAGGGAATGGTGCCCCTTATAATTAAAAAACATGGACCCAGAGTTGGGGGGTGCCTTCACAGCCACATGCTTCCCATCAATGGCCCCACAGCACAGAGGGAAGTTCCATCGGACCTCCACTCCTCTGCTCCAGGCACAGCCATGAACTCCTCCACGAGGCAGTCCCAGATGGCTGCCACCACATCTGGGATGAGCATGGAGACGGTGGATATGCCCGCTCTGAAGCTCCCCGCAATGGTCCTGTAGGAGTCCCCAGTGGCAAGAAACCTGCAATTACAAAATGATATGAACATATTTATCACAATTACATTCATAAAAATCACGTGACAAAACTTGTGTAGCATAAAATACGTTAAACTAGTAGACAGTAAACATCATAGACAGTAATCATAGACACCATATTGTTGCATAATACTGTTTTCTGAGCTATTACATTGTGGATTGTGATTGAAAAATGACACACTTTGTAAGTAGTTATGAATTCTGAATGGGGTAAAAAAACACTAACCGCAGACAGATGGACAGGCGCTCTTCAGCTGGAATAGAGCGCCTGTAGTTGGTGTCCTGGTAGGAGATCCTAGCGCCAATGCGGGTCAGTAGGTCGTCAAACTGAGCCAGGGAGAGCCGAAAGTACCGCTGAAAGCGACCCTCATCCGAGCGCAGCTCCCGGAGCAAATGGTGAAACTCACCAAACTCCAACCGTCTACGGACTATCTGATGAATCCAGACACGTCGTCGATTCGCCCTTTGACGACGTGTCTGGCTTTATTTATCAGATAAAGCAACTCCTTCGCTGACATCCATTTTGGGAAGCTACAGGCAAAAGAGACAAGCCCCGCCCCTAAACGCTCTCAACGCTCTGTGACAGCGGCTGCCCTCTAGTGTCCTGGCCGCGCGGCCAAGTTTCTCTGTGACAGCGGCTGCCACAATTTGTCACAAGCGGCTCAAGCCGCGCGATAGACGCGATTTGGCCGCAGAAATCGCGTTTGGTCTGAACGCACCATAAGTGTACCTGACGGTAGTGTAGTGGTTAAGCAAATGTGTGCAGCCTTGGTTACGTGAGTTCGAGCCCATGTGTGTGTATCATTATCTTTACATATTTGTTTCGATTTTTAGCGAACAATTTTTTTCTGTTTGGTTAAAGACTAATAAACACTCAACATAGGATTACGTAGTGGCTAATAATAAAACTTGTGAATGTATGCATTTGTTGTGCTAACAATCTCAAGTTTGCAAATAAGGGGTGAGCACTTGAGATTGTATGCAAATGCATGGGTTCACAAGTTTTATTATTAGCCACTACATAATCTTATGTTGAGTGTTTATTCGTTTTTAACCAAACAGAGAAAAATTGTTCGCTAAAAAGTGAAAAGTCAATAATGTTCCGACGGGGACTTGAACTCGCATCGTTGCGACTGAAGTCTCATTACACAACCGCCACACCACCGCCAAGCATTTACAGTTGACTACTGTGAAAAAATCATAGATAACACCCTAAACAACCGACGCATACTTATGCGAGGTTACAGCCTGACACGTGAGTCGGTCGAGGACCTGTTTTCCACGTCTAAACGACGTAAGGTGTGCATCTGGACGTAAAGCAATGCCTTCCCAGACGTTGATATGACGTTGAATCTGTACCTCTGTCGCTGCCCTGCTTTATTTACTTCGACTCACCCTCTCTAGTAAGTACACAGTCTGCACAGTTTTTAGATATAGATGTATCATTTCCACATTGAAAAGAGTTGGAGACAGAAAGTAAGTTGTTTTCTCACGTATACGTGGAATTTGTTGAGTATATTTTGTATATTATCTGTATTTTGAATTGCCAGTGCATGAATCTATAATAATAACGGCTGGCACTGCTCAGCTGAAAGGGAGACACCTTTTTTCAGTTTTTAAGTTAAAGTTTAAAATATTATATTGTTTTTCATATTTCAAACTATTTTTAACACATTAGAATTCTTAGGTTAGACTGTCCAACAAGCTATGTGTTAAAAAGGTTAAGATTCTTGAGTTTTAAAATAATAATTCAATTCTAAAATGTAAAGTTACTGTATATTTCACAATGGTTTATAAACTGCAAAAAGACAACAGTACTTAGTAAACTTTAGTTTAAAAAGTTTAAAAACAGGGAGAGCAGCTTTAATATTTGGGACACTCCCATCATTTAGACACCTGTGATGTCATCAGTTGGAGTTGAGTTCAGGTGTGGGACCATGTGGGACCATGTGGGACCATAGGAGCACACAGATGTTACCTGCTGCAGAAAGAAAGTTTAATATTGCTTTGTTTAATAAATGGATTTAATGTCTTCCCAAGTCTTCAATGTCAGAGACTTTCACTTCTTCTCACTGTGGCTGTTTAAATGAGCCACTACAGTTGTTATTTTTGTTATTGTTAGCTGCAAATATTAAATATCCATTCATCTGCTGGTAGCAAGCTAACTAGCGCTTGCAACTCTATTCAATTTCTTACTTTTTCTTATAAACTTTAATACCAGCCATATGTTAATTAAAATACATTTACCTTTGCTAATGCAGTCAATTATTGTGAAATCCATAGAGTTTAATTTCATGATTGTTGCAATAACTAATGTTCTGTGTGTATTCCTAATGTGTCATGTGTGTTTGAGTCTTACAGGTGTCAGACTGTGTTGAAGGTGTTCAAAGGTAAGAATCACACTCTCACACATTGATTGTTCTTCTGTATTATTATGTTGTTTTTAGAATAAACCATTATTTGGTGTATTCTCTTTGAAAACATCTATCTTTTTCTCAGATTGTTCAGCAACTCACTCAAGATGAGGGAAAAGAGCAACAAGGGGAAAATGCCCCCTCGGAAATGCAACATGTGTAGAGTAATACAGGGTAAGTAGCTTTCAGGGCTCATTTGTCCATGTGCAAAACAAATGCACATTTGCAATTGTTTTTTACATGGAATTACTCCAATGACCAAAGCCTTATCCCAAGTTTCTCAGACTGAGTGTCTTCCAGTGTCTCGAGCTAGTGCAGTGCCAAGGTTTGTATCACATGGTGATGGATCGAGTGGTTTGAGGCATTAATAGAAAGTTATGTGTTGTTATATCACTTTGCCACATTATGTTGAAACTAAACATGTTCCACATTTTCAGGTGCTGTGCTTGGACCTTGTGATGAGAGACTGAAGACCAAGAGAGGACACATGTTGGAACCTCAACATTCAATAAATGCATTCTTCTGCCTTTCAGATTGTGTTTTTACATCTGGGGAACCTAGAGTGTAGCTTGTGCCTGTTTTAATACTGATCCAAACATAGGCGCTACAATCATGTTTTTTTACTTTGGCATGAACTGTTCAGTACAGTAGTGTGCATAACACTGTGCTCTGTGTGCTTTAACTTGTACTTTGATGTAGAGAAACATGATTTTTAATGCAGCTCCATTTGCAATAATGACTGATATCCTTCTACTACAGTTGTTCTAATGATTTTTGAATGCTGTGTTTATCGTTTATTGCCCAGAGTCAGAACTAAACATGATATAGCTGCATTTCAGATTCACAAGGCTAAAATCTGGAACGGTCTTCCTGGAAATGTGAGACAGGCTTCTTCTTTGACAATGTTAAAATCCAGGTTTAAAACACTTCTGTTTCTGCTTCAACTGAGAGATTTTATGAGAGATTTTATTTGTATCTTTTTAATTTACTGTCAATATTTATAATTGTAATGCCTTGTTTGATTGTTTCTATCTTTTGTTCAGTGCTTTGAGTTTCCTTTTGTTTTGACTGTGCTATGCAAATAAACTTGCCTTGCCTATTGCAAAAAGTATGTCTCGACCAGTGAGTGATTCTGCAGAGGTTAAGTATGTCAATAGGACTGTAAATGGACGTCATATAAACTTCAATATTTTGGTCATATAAGACGTCGAGAGGACGTCGGACCCGACCGGTTCTGTAACACATTGCAACCTTGAATGAACGTGGCCTCGACGTCATTTGAACGTCCAGATAACGTCCAGATGACATTGAAATGACATCGTTTGACATCTGCTTGCTTAGTGGGAACAACGGAAAACGAACGTCATATAAACGTCAATATTTTGGTCATATGAGACGTTGATAGGACGTCAGACCCGACCGGTTCCGTACCACATTCAAACCTTGAATAGGGCACTGTCCGGTTTCCGAAATGTGCTAAAAATAGTTCCAATGACTGCGCATGCGCGCATGTTTCGGACAAACTCTGTCCGACTCCGTTGAGTACTACTGTGTTCTCCACATAAGCGTGTGTATTTATTTGGGCTAAATCATTGAATCATGGTGACAACAAAACACTGCAGTTATGGTGCTTGTGGGAGCGATTTCAGATACTCTGAAAAGGACTATATGAAAGCAGTAACATTCAACCTGTTCGTTAAACCACACCATCGAACCAGACCAGGACCAGACCAGGACCAGACCAGGACAAGTGCAAGAGGTGGGTGCTTGTGGTCAGCAGAATTTCTCTCATGAAAATGTTAAAAAGGACATGTTTTTTCAAAACACTTCGTTGGACCAACTGTGGAGCCTCCAGATCCAGTCCTAGCTACGTTTAGCTGGGACTGGACCTGGACCGCTGTATCAGGTCCGTCTGAGCTCTTCTGAATGTAGTTAGCCCCATCAATCCATATTAGTATTGTTTGTCCTAATCCAGAATGTATACAATTCTCACACCTGAAGAAAGATGAGAGGGATTTTTTCAACTTCGTGACTATCGGAAAATAAGCACAGACGAAGCGCGTTGGGGTCCGCTTATTATACGGCTTTGTACCAACTGAACACACAAAATAAACTTCTGTCACTATTCATGCCAAAAGGTTTATTTAATGAGTGCAAAGAAAATAGTTCCCAAAGGTTTTAGTTCACCTACTTTAAAAAAGCGATCGCTTTAGTCGCATTAAAAAAGTATTTTTGTCATGAAAACCTTAACAGATAATTCTGAAAACCTCTGTGCACGTGTGTTGTATGAATTAGAGCCCTGCACTTGAGCCCTTGGCCCGAGGGCCCCGACGGCCCGACAGCCCGAGGGCCGGGCTTCGGGCCGATGACCGCATAATGACCTCGGACACGGGCCGGGCTCGGGCTCTTCATTTTCAGAGCGGCAGAATACATTTACGAACGCACCCACTGAATATAGCGTTCTATCACGCTGTAGTGTTTCTTGTTCTGTGTAGTGTTGTCATTGACGGCACATAGCGTTACTTACAGGTGTGTTGCAGCATCTGGGCATCATACAGCTGTGTATCATACAGATGTTCACTCTGCACCACTCCGCACACACAGAACTCATTGCAACACATCACTACCATGTATAACTCCGCCCTCTAGCTAAGTCTGCGTTCATATCAGTGCGCGGCACTATATACTACGCTAAAACATTGTTATGGGAGGTTACAAAAAAAAAAAAAAAGGCGGGCTTGATGCGGGTTTCGGGCCTGAAAATTGAGAAACCATATCGGGCCGGGCCGGGCTGGGGCGCCACCCCCTCGGGCCAGGGCCGGGCTCGGGCCCAGATAATAGGCCCGTGCAGGGCTCTAGTATGAATATTATATTCTAGCATTAACATTTAAATATGTTGATTGATTGTCGTTTGCGTTTACTGAGTGTGGCTAGCTCCGATAGTTTCTCTCTGGACAATGGACAGTACAAAAAACAACTTGATAAATGGAAGTCAATCAGAGCAAAATAAACAAAGAAGGCGCTAACATTGCAATTTAAATGACTAGATAATGTTAGCATAATCCTCACCATTACCTTTTTATCAATTCAAACCGTCTACCAGTTACTGGAAGACCACGACATTCAAGCCAACGTTATAATTGGTCTACACTATGATCCCTGATGGTTTGATGGTGGAATTTTGCCCCTGGTTTATCATTTTCGTCTAAAGTGACAAGAGGTATTTGATTCATTTTGGCAGTGTTTGTCCGAAACATGTGGGCGGGAGTTGACAGGCGGCGGGGGCGTGTCTTAGTGACGTCATTCAGATAGTTCGCTATGATATGTTACAGTAATAACAGGTGTCTGTTGTGGCCCCGCCCTTCTGCAGCTTCTTCTCTTCCTGAATGTCTCGCTTCTTGTTAAAGAGACAGGCCTCTGGGACTGTGTCGGGCCTTTCTCACATCGTGAACTATAATGAAGTGTTTGTTCTTTATAAAAACTGTTTCTCTCATATTGAAGTATAACTGTCCACCGCACCTGGTGATGCGACATGTCGGCCTGGGCCATTAGCTTAGCCGTGACCTGGTGGTGCGACAGCTCGGTGTGCTGCATTAGCTTAGCCGTGACCTGGTGATGCGACAGCTCGGTGTGCTGCATTAGCTTAGCCGTGACCTGGTGATGCGACAGCTCGGTGTGCTGCATTAGCTTAGCCGTGACCTGGTGATGCGACAGCTCGGTGTGCTGCATTAGCTTAGCAGGGAAGCGGCGGCGGTACAGCTCCTTGATCTTCAGGTGCACGGCGGGGCTGCAGCCGGGCCTCAGCAGCTGCAGAGCTTTGGTCAGCAGCTCGTGTTTGCGTCCGTGTTTGTTTCTGCCGGCGTATCCCAACAGCACCTGCAGCTCTGACACACGCAGACTCATCACCATCTGCTGCAGACAGACACAGGACAGACTCAGAACCTGGAGACCAGACTCAGACCAGACTCGGACTCGGGCTCGGTCTTGGACCATCTAACATCTATAATGGACCATGACTTTCGCCCCCTGCCGTACTCTCTCTCTGCTCTGGAGAGCAGCTTCAGTGACAGACTGATCCACACTCGCGATGTGAAGGAGAGGTTACGCAGGTCTTTCCTTCCTACTGCTGTCAGACTGTACAATGAACAATGAGGCCTAACAAACACTGCTGACCTGACCTCACATGTTGTGCATCTGTGTAATAATTTAAATAATGTCCACTCGGTGGGAGGAGTCATTGGGAGTCGGTGGGAGGAGTCATTGGGAGTCGGTGGGAGTCGGTGGGAGGAGTCTGTGGGAGGAGTCTGTGGGAGGAGTCTGTGGGAGTCGGTGGGAGTCGGTGGGAGTCGGTGGGAGGAGTCTGTGGGAGTCGGTGGGAGTCGGTGGGAGGAGTCTGTGGGAGTCGGTGGGAGGAGTCAGTGGGAGGAGTCGGTGGGAGTCTGTGGGAGTCTGTGGGAGTCGGTGGGAGGAGTCTGTGGGAGTCGGTGGGAGGAGTCGGTGGGAGTCGGTGGGAGTCGGTGGGAGTCGGTGGGAGGAGTCGGTGGAAGTCTGTGGGAGTCGGTGGGAGGAGTCGGTGGAAGTCTGTGGGGGAGTCGGTGGGAGGAGTCGGTGGGAGTCGGTGGGAGTCAGTGGGAGTCGGTGGAAGTCTGTGGGAGTCGGTGGGAGTCGGTGGGAGTCGGTGGGAGTCGGAAGTCGGTGGAAGTCGGTGGAAGTCGGTGGAAGTCGGTGGAAGTCGGTGGAAGTCTGTGGGAGTCTGTGGGAGTCGGTAGGAGTCGGTGGGAGTCGGTGGGAGTCGGTGGGAGGAGTCGGTGGGAGTCGGTGGGAGTCGGTGGAAGTCGGTGGGAGTCGGTGGGAGTCGGTGGGAGTCGGTGGGAGTCGGTGGGAGGAGTCGGTGGGAGGAGTCGGTGGGAGTCAGTGGGAGTCGGTGGGAGTCGGTGGGAGGAGTCTGTGGGAGTCGGTGGGAGGAGTCAGTGGGAGTCGGTGGGAGTCGGTGGGAGTCGGTGGGAGTCGGTGGGAGTCGGTGGGAGTCGGTGGGAGTCTGTGGGAGTCTGTGGGAGTCGGTGGGAGTCGGTGGGAGGAGTCGGTGGGAGGTGTCGGTGGGAGTCGGTGGGAGTCGGTGGGAGGAGTCGGTGGGAGGAGTCGGTGGGAGGAGTCGGTGGGAGTCGGTGGGAGGAGTCTGTGGGAGTCGGTGGGAGGAGTCAGTGGGAGTCGGTGGGAGTCTGTGGGTGTCGGGAGTCGGTGGGAGTCGGTGGGAGTCAGTGGGAGTCGGTGGGAGTCGGTGGGAGGAGTCGGTGGGAGTCGGTGGGAGGAGTCGGTGGGAGTCTGTGGGAGTCGGTGGGAGGAGTCAGTGGGAGGAGTCAGTGGGAGTCGGTGGGAGGAGTCTGTGGGAGTCGGTGGGAGGAGTCTGTGGAAGTCGGTGGGAGTCGGTGGGAGGAGTCTGTGGGAGTCGGTGGGAGTCTGGGAGTCGGTGGGAGGAGTCAGTGGGAGTCGGTGGGAGGAGTCGGTGGGAGGAGTCAGTGGGAGGAGTCAGTGGGAGGAGTCAGTGGGAGTCGGTGGGAGTCGGTGGGAGTCGGTGGGAGGAGTCGGTGGGAGGAGTCGGTGGGAGGAGTCGGTGGGAGGAGTCAGTGGGAGGAGTCAGTGGGAGGAGTCAGTGGGAGTCGGTGGGAGGAGTCTGTGGGAGTCGGTGGGAGTCGGTGGGAGTCTGTGGGAGGAGTGGGAGTCGGTGGGAGTCTGTGGGAGGAGTCGGTGGGAGTCGGTGGGAGTCGGTGGGAGGAGTCTGTGGGAGTCAGTGGGAGGAGTGGGAGTCGGTGGGAGTCGGTGGGAGTCGGTGGGAGTCTGTGGGAGTCGTGGGAGTCGGTGGGAGTCGGTGGGAGTCAGTGGGAGGAGTGGGAGTCGGTGGGAGTCGGTGGGAGGAGTCG